AAAAAAATATTTTTTGATAATGATTGTCAAACGGGGGCTAAATATTAGGAAGTAGTTAAAAGCATCAAGAACATAGGCTTTAGGGTTAATTTTAGTACTTGAAGAGAATCTCCAAATCGGGTTCCTTTTTGTTCCTTTCGATAGAAGTTGAAAACTTGAAATAAAAAATTTGGTAAGTCACTCGACCCGCACCGGTAATCGCGAGGATGATTGCGTCCTCACATGGGATGCGTGGGTCTCAAGTGAATAAAAAAATATTGACCCCTCATGTGTATGGTGTGTCAATTCCGAGATCATTCTGTTGGCGCTGTAGCATCAATCAAACACTTGATTGCTAGCTGACAGATGTCCTCGGATGAAAGATTGGATTTTTTTATGTCAACCTCAAAAGAAATGAGATAAGGTTGAAAGCTACAATACTAACTATTTCTAAGTATCATAATTATGTTGTTAGTTGCACGATAGCAACTTTAACACGTAATAAGTTTCAAACAGTAATGAGTGATGAGAGACAAAACTATAACTTCGTTTGTACTATGATTAAGTGCACTTGCTACGCAACAGAATAAGGTCACTAGAAAAATCATGAGCGGATTAATATCCTCTAGTCACAGACCTATAGGACAAAGTTAAACTCATTCAAAAAATTATTATTTTATCGACTCAAATGAGAAAATATTAAACAAAGCCAGACATACACGATCTTAATTTAAACAGGTAGTGATACCTTTTACGGATATAAAGTACGAAAGATTTAGAATATGTGTAGTAACACGCGATTAGTTTGCTTTTTGAAATACTCCTTTAGTTTACACTACTAACGCGGTCGTCAGAGTGTTCTAGATGAGAAATTAAGTTACTGTCGAGCTAATTTTGACCGTCTATATCATTGATATTAAACTTAGAACATGTCGATCTAATGCTAAATAGTGGACAAGTACACTTTCATATCAAGAAAGTTGTACATTAAACGTGGTTTATATGATCTCTAAAAGATTGGTGTTTTCCCCCAAATACTGGAGTTTGGTAAATATGGTTAACATATTAACTATTTCTACATATTTTGGAATGTTTGTTGACAGTTGAAAAAAACAATATTACCAGAATGTTATAAAGAAAAAGGAAAGAAAGAAAAAAAAAAGTTTTAAAGATAAAAAATTCTTAATTTACTCCTCTTCTCGTCTCTTATTATGCACATTTTGCATATTTGCTGCCATATGAGTCAAAGTTGGCCCGGGTTAGAGTTATTCTGAGCCACTGCCCGCTTCAGCAACAAAAGTGGCATATTTTGTTGATACAAGTCAAAGTCATTTTAAAATAGATTTCTTCACTGACCTTGGTAGTGGGTAGGGCACTTTAGTCAGGGTTGGATCTAGGGACGGGGTCGGCTGGCCTACAACTTGTTCTTCCAGCCCAGATGTTAATTAAAAAATTAAGTAATTTTTTTTTTCTGCGTATTAGTCCGTCCTGAATTTTTTTCTGGATCCACCCTACGAATAGCCCATGCTCATGATACCTGGTTTTCTTCGCTATTTGTTATTAAAGAGAACAATTAAGATAAATATAGTGTAGATAATTATTTTATGTTCTACATAGTATCAAAGATTCGATCCAAAAAAAGGAAACCATGTCCAAGTCTACCACTTATGCAATACCAACCTTTGTTTCCACCCTTTTCCCTCTTAAACTGTGTCAGGACTCTTATCTCCTCTTTCTATTTAATCAATCACAAAATTTACAACTGAATCACCATCGGTTATTTGTTCAAACCACTCAGTCTTGCGATGCCTCAAATCATTGACCATATAAAGAATTCTGCTAATTTTGTCCATTATTGCTCAAAGGAAGTGCTATGTGTACACAATGGTGTACATACAACATTACATCTCCCCTCACTTAAAGGAGGCCCACATACAATAAAATATTCGTGGATTCCTTTCTATATGAGGGGGTGTAATCCATTATTCATGGTGTACACATAGAATTATCCATCAAATCTCCTTACGATTTGACGATACTATATTTGGTGACAGTACCAATCTACGATTACCATACTGTTGTGCTTTACTTTCCCTCTTCCTCTCACTATTTTAAATTATCTAAGGTCCATTTTATAGCATCTAATTCCATGAAAAATGTCTCATTCGAGAAATTTATTTTTTACTATAGCTATTTGATACGAAAGTGGCATTTGAGTTCGAATTTCAAGATAAAAACACTTAAAACATATTTTTACCCAATTTCATGGAAATCGAATTCTTATGATTTTGGTGATTTTTTTCTTTTTCAACGTAGGTGGAATTAGTTTATCTTTTCCACGTTTACAATCAAACAGACCCTAATATCCTTTGTGTTCCGGAGATGAAATTTTTTTGTTTTTATTATTATTATTATTTTTTTCCATTTCTACGTTTTGTCAAACAAATCAGATATCAGTTGAATTTTCTACATCTTCTTTCCACGTGAAGGACCGATGGAATGTATACGTGGCCCTACACATTTATTCCTCTCCACCAATTCTTGTCCCATTGTGATAAGAGCAAATGCACCAAGTCATTCAAGCTTCCATTTTCAGTGTCAACTATTATCAGCACCGCCCACACACACTGTCATTTTCTTCGATCTTGGGAGATCACTTGTTGAATCTATCAAACGAAATAAATCCGACATTATTTTCATTGATCATTTCATAAATATATTTCTGATTTATAATTTTATATTTATGCTCCAAAGCAAAAATGAGATGTGCATGACAGTTTTAAACCTATTGTTGAAGAATTCTTTAATGCTCACATACGTACTCTGGTTATATTTTTCTTGCCTCTTTCATATTAGATAATGGCATTTTGCAACTTACTACACCCCGTCGCACACTATAATACAATGGCTTCTCTCAGGGGCAGACCTAGACTTTTAGTACTGTGGGTTCAAAAATTAAGATATACTTTAAAAAAAAAAACATAATATTAATTAAAATAAGTTAATACGTATAAACGTCATATAATTACATCATATCAATATTACTAAATAAAATTTGCTACTTGTTTAGTTTTGTTTACCAATTCACTGACAAATGCTGAGCCGACTTCGAGTAAGTCGATTTGAATGTAAAATGTAAATGAATTGAATAAAATCCGAGATGTAAATGAATTCAAATTTGAGACAAATGTAATTACATTTAATCTATAATAATAATAAAACTTTTGACATTATTCCTTATAAAACTTTCTAATAAAATGATATAAATAATATTGAAAAATTTATCGCGCAAAAATAATAAACATTAATAAAATAATTGAATTTTTTTAAAAGAAAAGACGAGTTGTTCTTTTTTGAGACGTACATTTAACGCATATTTAACTATTTTTTATGTCCGTTTGAACCATTCAATATAAAAACGATGTAATTCTTAAAATGAGCTTCTACAGGACGAACGATTTGTGGATTCGGATAGCATATTATCGCCAATTAATTTTGAAAATTAGCATATTATTGAAATTTTCGAAATCCTAGTTTCAAATGGCTTACTTTGGGGTGTCGTAACTTTTGTTATGGTTGACCATTTCAAACACCTTTTGTAAGCAAAAAAGTAGGCCACGAACACTTCGAAATGGAATTAAGAATGCAATATTTCAACTTTATTTGACATCCCGTAATGAGTGCATCAAAGTAGGTCGTAAAGGGATCAAAACAACTATTTTTTGTGAAAAAAAAACAAAAAACATAAAAAAAAAAAAAGGAAATCAAGGGCAAAAAATATGTGGGGTCATTTGATCCCACATGACCCCATGTGGGTCTGCCCATGGCTTCTTTAAACGCCCTAACACAATCACATAGTAGAAACTGATCTTGCACTCTACCATGTGTCTGTCCTACTCTTATTAAGGTATCTTGTTAAGCACAATCTTGTATATTATAAATCTTATGTCCACGTCTAGTCTACCCATAAATCCCCAGTAGAGTTAAAGACTAATGCTCAGATTATGCTAAACTCGATGTTGTTTGTTATCTTTGATAGTCGTGGTTAAAACCATACACCGACCACAAGTTAGGACATCCGTCACGTCCATTGTATTTTTTGGATAATCTCTCTCCAAAGCAGGGGTGGATCTAGGTTCCACGTTCAGCTAGGACATTTCACTTTGACTTTGACCATTGATCATTGATCGTCGATAATCAACAATCGTATTAAAATTTGATTAAATAATATTAAAAATTGTTAGATATATATGTAAGCATTATATACATATGAAAATATAGTTCAATACAACCCGAAATACTAAAAAAATATACGATAGAACCTTACTCTGTAACTATAAACTTAGACAACTGAATTCTACGGGGTCTCATATTTTAAAAACGTTGCAATATTGCCTCATTCTCAACTTAAAAAAAAAAAAAGATCTTTCTCCACATAAACCACCAAATGGTCATTGAACGACTCATTTCCCATTTTGTTGCACAAGTCACTCTTGATTAAATTCACAGCGGAGAATACCCTTTCAAAACTTGCAGTTGCCACAGGTAATATCAAAACCAAGGTGATCAGCCTATAAACCAATGGAAAATAACAACTACTTCTAGTTTCAATCAACTTCTGAACTACACAAGATATGCTTTTGAGGTTAAAGAAAGCTTCGTCCATTCTCATAAGCATAACAAACTTGTCAAGTTCGGGTCTAAGTAATAAAAGCTCGTCACTATTGAAGTCCAAAGGATAGAACTGGGGAAGACGTACCAATTTAGCCTGATCAAAAGCTGCAAATGAATCTCTTGGACTTAAACACGAAATGCAATCAAAGAGCTCAATAGTTGTTGCTGAAAAACGATCATTGAATTCTTGCAAGATTGAGTCTATCACATGACAAAACAAATTGAGCTGCACGCCTAGGTCGACCTTTCATTACTACAATATCTTCCATATTGGGTACTGAAATATGTCTATCAACATAAAACTCAATTACCTTACTCAACAAAGTATCCCAACCATTATCTCTCTTATTCTGTAATGCATACGTACACAACTTCAATAACCTCATAGTATTCTGAATATCTTGATCCTTTTTTTTGTAAGGCTTGTGAAAGGTTGTTTGTAGGTTCAAGAATTTTAAACATAAAGTGGAGACTGCACACAAACTTAAAATCTTGCATAGTATTCATCTGTCTTACAGCCATTGATTTTTGACCTATATTTTTGTCATCTTCTGATATATTTTCAAGAACATCTATGACGGCATTGAATATACTAATAAAGCGAGTAATTGTCAGTAGATGTGAGCCCCATCTAGTTTCACCTGGGTGTGCTAAACTCATTTCTTGGAACTGATTAGTTCCATTAGTAAGTTCCCCAATATTAAGCTTCTCCAGAATATTAGCATAATAACTTGCTCGAAGAGAATCTACAAGCTTACATGATGCACCAACCAAATTCCCAATAATAGCAAGCATGTTAAAAAAATCACCAAGCATATGATCCGTACGTGCCACAGTAACAACTGCCAACTGAAGCTGGTGAGCAAAGCAATGGATATATATAGCATATGGATTTTCTCTTAAAATTAAAGCTTTTAAGCCATTGAACTCACCTGACATATTGCTTGCTCTATCATAACCTTGACTTCTCAGGCTAGATATGCTCAATCTATATGTAGAAAGCATTGCATCAATGGCATCCTTCAGTGATTGGGCACAAGTATCCGTAACATGAGAAATGCCCAACAAACGCTCCTTCACTTTCCCACTCTTGTCAACAAACCTTAAAACAACTGCCATTTGTTCATTTATAGAATTATCACGAGTCTCATCAACCAAAATTGAAAATAAAGAATCACCCATCTCATTGATAATAGACCTTCTCGTCTCTATGGCACAAAGTTAACCAAATCCTTTTGGATGTTTGGTGAAGTTATTTGGTCATTTCCAGAAGCGTTACTAAATAACACTTCTTCAATTTCTTTACGACGAACTGCATACCAATTTAATAGCTCAATTAAATTTCCTCTGTTAAGAGACTCTTTGGATTCATCATGACTACGAGATGGTAATCCTTACATCAAGAGAAATCTAGTACAATCTAACACCGCAGTCAACCTTGTCCTATAACTATTTTGTTGACTACTCCTCTAGCTAGAAATAACATTGGAGATACTTTGCTTTTGATTCATCAAACTGGTACACTTTGTAAAAGATTGATTATGAGCACTATAAAAGAGCCCAACATGATCTTTCAATGTCTTTTTGTGCTTCCAATCCCTAATGCCGGTCTTGGTGAATATATGTCCACCCCCTTGACCCTCTCTATCAGGTTTGAACAAGTAGCAATGCAAACAATTAGCTGCATCCTTTTCTATACTGTACTCTAACCAATGAAATCCAGAAAACCATTCTTTCCGAAAACACCTATTATCATTTCCCATCAGTCTTCTTAGAAAGTCGTGCCCATATGGTTGATAGGACCTTTCTCCAAGTATGTCATTCTAATATCATCTCTGATATTAGGATCATATGACTCGACAGGGGGACGTTTCCCTAGATCAGATACAAGATCATCAACATTGAATTGAGCTCGAGACTTCTTTGTGTTATTTAACAACACGCGTACTTGGCTAGAAGCAGTGGCCGGACTAGAAGCACAATTAGAACTAGGAAAACTAGGTAACGACTTTCGTTTCGGTTGAAATAATAGATCAATAATCTGCAAAATGCCTCCAATTTAATTTTCGATTAGAATTGATTAAAAAATCACAATTCTTAGTAATAATTCCTAAATCCTAATTTCCTTTGCTACGACTATATGAATTAAACTTTGATTCACTATCACTAATAACATGTACAACACTCGAGCCAGTCAACACTTCAAGTCTCCAAATCTCCAACAGAGTCACTCAACTCAAGTCGTCCAAGATTCCAAGTGCTCAACAAACTCTCAACACCGTCACTTCAGGCATCAACATACAACAAATTGAACAAAGGGTCGGCAAATTGCAGTTGCACCAGCACAATTGCACAAATCAACAAATAAAATACGTCAAGTCGTCAATACAACAACACTCAATTTCTCAACAGTGAGCAGTCAACACACAATAAAAACAGTCAACAGAGACAGAGTTGAGACAATTAGAATTCAGACAACCAAAACAATTCAATTAACCAAATATTCAACTCTTTAACTTTAATTATTAAACTTAATAAACTTTAACTCATCAATCACCAATGATGCAGCCTATAATGCACATTGCTGGCTGCTCGTGCTCGACCTCACCACTCACCTCGAACTTCAGTCCACGGAGTCTGTCCCTGGTCTGGTCGGAGAAGATGGAGATTCGCCCCTAACTCTAAGACTTCGTACATAGCACATTGGTGGCACACGCACGTTCACCGGTTCACCGCCTCCATCTGGTACTACTGTTTCGAATTGAAATTGAGGGTAAGTGGGTAACTAGTTTCTATATAAGGGAAAGGACCAAGGTTTTGCAATTTTGGGGCTGATTTTAGGTTTGGGAGTTGGGAGAAATATCAATTAAAACCAATATATCCAATTAATAAATATGCACCGTCCATTTGAATGGATCCAATTTCCGTATTTGGGCCAATTTTTATTTTTTTTTAAATAGGCCCAATTTCAGTTAGATTAGCCCAAAGAAAAAGTGAAAAAAGCGGTCGTCTTCTCCTCTTTTAGTTACAGCTGAAACTGAGTTCCTTCGTCTACAATTGCTGGGCGTCTGCTACCAACACGATGGTCACTAAACTGACTAAAGACTCCGGTGGAGCCAGCATGAGCGATCACGCCCGGTGCTGGCTCCGCCCCTGCCCCAAAGTCATTGTATTATATTGTTGCTAATCAGATGTAAATTTCTCATCATGTCAACTTCATCAAGTTTGCATTCCCATTTGATTCGTGAACAACCACTAGTATTATTGTTTTCGTTGCTGACTCATCTCATATTTCCCATCCCATGCCCATCCCAATTTATATCCCTACCCATTCAGCGTACCATATTTTGTTAAGCTCTCAGCTTTTTCCACAAGTAAGCTCTTTTAGAGTTCACGTATGACTGAAGTTCTATTGAGAATTCTATTGGGAGTTGGTAGTATACCTTGAAAAATTCTTGAAGAAGTCAAAGAGGTATAAGGAGAATAATCACGTGAAGACTGTTCGCCAACCTCATAGATGTCGTTCAAGCAAAAATTGCAATAACTCCATCGCTTGCTAACTATGCCAGGTGCTCGAGCGGTGGCCGGTGGATGCACAGCTTGCTAGTTGCGAGACCACCGCTCGAGTGATGGTGTTATCCGGTGCAAATCCTAGTCATTATTTTGGTAGTTTTTATATTCATATTCTACCTCAAATACTCCATTATTTGTTAGGCCTATTATATTAGGACCCTACCATATGTTATGCTCTTCGTTATGCTATATATAGGATTAATTTCATCTCTTGAAATCATCCAACTTTTGCAGCCATTTGATATAGTGAATTTTCTCCTCTTCTACTCGTGTTTTTTCCCGTAGTAGGTTTTCATGTAAATTTTGTATTCTTGTTCATATATTTTTATATTTTCATTTTTCATTTTTCATAAAAAATAGGCATTAGAATAATGTTTGATTTTCAGTTATGGCAACCATGAAATTCGATATTTCGCTTTTGGATCACAACACTAGGTTTTCGTTACAGCAAGTAAAGATGAGGGTTGTCCTTGCACAAGTAGACTTGGATGATGCCCTGTTAGATTTGATAAGATGCCCTCAATTTGGATGCAGGAGGAAAACAATGTAGGGATCGAAATGCCCTATCTCAAATTCATCTTCATCTATCAAATCAAATTCTTTAAGACACTCTAAATGAGGAAACTTCCACTATGTTATGGTTACAATTGGAGTAATTATACATATGGAAATTGTAACTAGTAAATTGCATTTGAAGTAATGATTGTATTCTTATCACATGACAGAAGATGCGTCTATAGAAGATCACCTAAATTTTCTTTATGAAAATTTTTACTAATCTGGAGACCCTAGAGGTCAAGTATACTGAAGAAAATTTAGGGTTAATCGTCTTGTGTTCGCCGCCGTCTTCATATATGCCTTTTAGTGAAACTATTTTTTACAATTATAACACTCTGACCATAGATGAAGTATATGATACTTTGTTTTCAAATGAGAAGATGAAGCAGCTTATGATTGGATCTGAAGCTCAAGCAAAGGGTCTTGTTGTTCATGGTGGTTACGTGAGGGCATATTGAAGTCTAATTACAATGATAAAATTTGTAATTATTGTAGAAAAGGGGGCACATCAATTTTGATTACTATAAGTTGCAGGATAAGGATAAAATAGCTACTATAAATTAGAAAGGAAAATAACTAGAAAATCTAGGTAAAGCCAGTGTTGCAAAAGATTGCTATAGTAATGGAGAACTTCTAGTTATTTCTAATAGTGACTCCAAACCTTACGAGGATTAGTTTCTTAATACATCTTACACGTTTCATATGTGCTCTAATCAAATTGGTTTTCAAAGGTGCTAAGATAATGAGAAATAATGCTCCTTGTAAGATAGCTGGTATTGGAACGATAAGAATTAAAATATTTGATGATATGAGACATGTTTCAGATTTGAAGAGAAATTATATATATTTGTGTATTCGTTATTCAGAAGGGCACAAGTACACTATTGAAAGTAGGGTCTTGAAGGTTAGCAAATGCGCTCGTATTATGATGAAAGGGTACAGAAGATCTACCTAGTTATATGTGTTACAGGGTTTTACAAGATTATTGATACAAATTAATAGAGATCAGACACATAGGTCGAGTTTGATTTTGGGTCAATAACTAGACCAGACTTTATATTTTAGCTTTGTTCAGAAGTTAAGGGTAGTGCCACTTTGCTACCACCATGTAGTTATGGCAAAAAACCTATCGCCGCCTCGCCCCGAAAAATTGGTGGGGCGAGGTGCGTAAAGAGCAAAAAATAATAATAAAATAATTTTATTTATAGACAATTTACTAGTTAAAAATTCATTTTTGAATTTGTTTTTTAATTCTCTAATAATAGCATAACTCGAAATACTGAAAATGTAGAAAAAAAATTAAATGGGGCAAAAAATTGGGCAAAAAATTGCCTTGCCCCTGTCCGGTCTGAGGTAGGGTAGGAGGGCGCCGAACCTATCTCGTTGCCATCCCTACCACCACCAGTGATACCACATTATTCTATTGTTAAATATATCCAAAAGAAATATTAGACCTCTACATAAGTGCGGTTACACTGATTTGGTTGCTTATGCTTTGAGTGTTGCCAAAGGTATTGATTCCATTGAAAAACCTTCTAAGAGGAAGTTAGGTGTGTTGATTCGATTTTGTTGAAAATCTTGAAAAGAGAAGATCTCTTACAGGGTACAATTTTACTATTGGTGATTGTGTTTTCAATTGGAAAGCTATTACGTGGTATAAGAGGTTTGGCTCATTTTTAGTCACTCATGGCTTTAAGAAAACAATTTATGATAGCTCTATTTATTTTAAGAAGTGTGGTGATGGGTCGTTTGTGTATCTAACCTTTTATGTTGATAGTAACCAAGGATAAGGGAGAAATAAGAAAAGTGAAAGCCTAGCTCAGTGAAGAATTTGATATTATTGTGAGCAAAGTTGGTACCTAAAATAATACTATTGATATGATGACCAAGTTACTTACTATAGTCAAGTACGAGCATTAGTTGAACTTGGTTAGTATTTGTTCATTGAGTTTACCCTTAAGCTTTTGTAGAAAGGTGAAGTTTTATTATTTCCATTGGAATTCGTGTCAAGGTGAAAATTTGTTAGAGTTTGAGTGTAACTAGAACTCTAT